CTGGGGCTGGATTTAAATGCTAATCTTCCTGACTCCAGGCCCAGTGTTCTATCCACTGTGTCACCTACCTGCCTCAGTTAATGCTAAGTGGGATAAACACAGATCCCATGGATTAGTGACATCTTTGACCAGGCTGATGAGTTGTTTTCACCATTTCTTCAAGGTTGCTCTTACATCATACTCAAGCATAGTTTGGAGGTGATCCTGGAGTCCTGAGGCCTGAGCTAGGAGAATGTAAGATTTAGCAGGTTCTACCAAGCTTAGATAGGCTTCCAGGATTGGCCCTAGTGATGGGATGGATGACTTATAAAGAAAGAGTATTTGTTGTCTTTCTCGCTCTGGTAGTGCTTTCATTTGAGATGTGAGCATCCAATACTCTGGACAATAAATCCCATAATCTGTCTTCACCCATAGACATTTGAATTTGATGTTGTTGGTGTTTTATAAAATCTTATGTATATGATGGAACTTTGGTTTGTATTAGATTTCTCCTTAAACCTCCATGAACAGCAAATAAGTCTAACCTGTATTGTGTTTCTGTCGTGTTATCGTCAAGGAATACCTTATAGCTTTCTTTTTTCAAGTCACCTCATTGTTACCCTTCATTCTGTGCCCTCTTACTCTTTTACCATTCTTTTGTTCGGGTCTTAGAGTAAAGAGTCTTGGAATTAATTGATACCTAGTCAGGAAATCTCTTGATTTTCCCATGCTGGTAAGGAAACATATCTTGTAAATCATTGGAAATCACCGATGATGGTTTTTAAAAGTTCACTTTCTCAAAAAGTTTCAACCTTCTTCCTTCTTAAGCTTCTTGTTGCAGAACAGTGGTTTCCAAAGGGGTGGGGAGACTGAGACATGACCCCAAAAGGTATGTGATCAACCAATGCAGAAATTGGGTCACTGCCCTCATTAGCTAGTTATGGGATTTGTCTCCAAAACAACCATTATCCCCCCCCCAACTTCCCCTTATTCTAATTCCTTTCACTTCTGGAGAAACTTTGATCCTACTCCTATTTGAGCTTAGCATTTGACTCTTAGAAGTTATAACCTAACAGAGACCTGAACAGCTTCAACAGCATCTGTGCAATTACAGTTGGCAAAATTCCCATCCCCAGCCTGCCCACGTCCTCATGACTACCCTTTAGAGAACAGACTCTGTGTACTGCAAGGTAGTGAGCAGTGAGTGATATTTTCAGTGAAAGCAAAAAGGTTTTTTTGTATCATTAATAAGTAAAATAAAAAATTAATATTATTTATTTTATCTTCATATCATCCTTTTAAAATTTCTATATTTTATCCCCTGACAAAGAACATTCCATTTTTTTGTGCCAGGTCTATATTGCCTGAAATCAATTTCCTAGCTGTCTGCCATAGAAACCTCTTGACATTCTAGAATGATTGTTTTCTTTGTGGCTAAGTATAGCACTTGGGTAATAAATCATCTCTACTTTTTTAGTTGGAAAAAACTCTGTTTTGTAATTCATATTAGTAGAATAGTACACGTATGTAATTTGTAAACAAATATACCCACATGGAAGGTGCGTGCTCAGAAACTTCTTACCGATACATGTGATAAAAAATGTTTGCACACTACTGTTCTAGTGTGCTAACAAATAGTGAAACTAATTATTTCATAGTTTCAATATTTAAAACTGAAAGAAAACTCAGAGAGATTGTGAGTCTTAACTCCCTCATTTGAAGGAAATGCAGGCCAGAGAGGTGCAGGAATTTGACTCGGGTCACATAAGTAGTTAGTGTTAGTGCTGCAATTTGAACACAGATCTTGTGCTGTGAACACAGGTCAAGTGCTCCTGACCGTTTTCCATTCTATCTCAGTCAGCCTCACAATCCAGTGGGGGTATCAATGACAACCGTGTACCAAAAAAAATAAAAAAGACTATATAGGATAAATTGGAGATCATCTCAGAGGGAAGATACTTGAATTAGGGGGGATCAGGAAAAGTTTCCCAAAGGAGGTGGGAGTTTAGCTGGGACTTAAGGGAATCCAGGGAAAATGGAAGGCAGAGATGAAAGAGAGCATTCCAGGCATGGAGGATGGAGTTTCTTGCATCCAGAGACAGAACTGATAAATAGAAGTATGTGTAGAATAATTTTACAAACATATGCCTATTTGTGTCTAATGGTGGCCATCTCTAAGGCAGGGGTGGGGGGGAGTGTCATGTATAATCGTCTTTTTTATTATGCTTTGCTATGGAAATGCTTGTTTTCTTCCAGAAATTAATTTTTAAAAATAAAAAGACTGGAAAGGAAAGAGAGGGACAAGTTACAAAGGGCTTTGAATACAAAACAGAGGATTTTATATTTGATCCTGGAAGGGATTGGGATTCACTGGAATTTATTGAGTAAAGCATGGTAAGACCTGTGCTTTAAGAAGATCTCTTTGACAGCTGAGGGGAAGATGGACTGGAGTACAGAGATGCTTGTGGCAAGAAGACCTCCCTTATTCTTTACTAGAACTTTAATAGAGGTACTAATAAATAGTATACTGATATTAGGAATATAAAGTAACACAAGAGAGAATAGGGAGCGTGTAGGAGTTCTAGATTAACGAACTAGGTAATCAGTCTATAAATAATTGAGAATTTGCTGTAGAACCAATGTGGGACCGTATGGTAGGAAATTAACAGGACATTATGATGAAGGGAACAAGGGGAGAGAGATGGAAGGAATTTGGAACTCAAAAATTATAAAAAAACAAATGCTAAAAATTGCTTTTACATATGTAATTGAGAAAAACAAAACAAAAACATTCTTTCATAAAAAAAAAGATGTTATGAAGACTGCTCTCCTAAGAAGGGATTCTATTACTTTCTGGACCCTATCCATTTCCTGAGCAGCTTTGCAAAAATGATAGTGTAAGATATTTTAGTAGTTCATTTTAGAGGAGACCAGCATGCACATCAGGAAACTAAATCTCCCTGCTCTAGAGAATGTAATGTAATGTAAGAATGTAATTTTGGGGCCAACTTCCCAAAGAAGAGAAGAGAAAAGACGCATCACCTCTTCACAGAGGTGGAGGGCAGTGGGTTACAGAACATCGTATATACTCTGTGGCTTTGTTGCACTGTTGGTTAGTTTCACCCAATCTGTCCTTTTAATTTCTTTTTTTTTTTTAATCCTTTGTTACAGAGGATGACTTTCAAGGACACAGGGCAAGTAGGGAAGGATGAAGTATTTTTTAAATGAAGGAGACGTAAAACTGAAAAAAAAAATCTTAAGGGTGGTTAGCTATAAAAGAATGTTTTTCGAATCAACCTGCCTGGGAGGGATAATGAGTATGGAAATATCCCATATGCACTTAGGATGCATTCATTGGAAATGATTTATATCTGAATTCTGTTGCAAAGAGTGACCCCTTTAGCTGACACTGGAATTCTTTCTACCTGTCAAGCATCTGTTTCATCCAGCTCTATCTACCTGTGTCCAGCACAGACCAGCTACATTTAATCCTCTGTCTTACTGACAGTTGAGTATATAATGTAGTTTTAAGCTCCAATCCTTCTTTTGGTTACATTAAGAGGAAGACTTGATTAGGAAAGAAGCAAATTTTGAGAACAAACATTAAAAAAAAATGACCTCTAGACCTCTCCAACCTAGGATGTGAGTTGATTCTAGCAGAATCCAGATTTAAAGTGAACATTTTCCTGAAGACACTGAGAAATGGCTTCAGTCTTTGCCCTTAAGAAACTAATGAGATCCACTCATTTTAGTTCATTTATTAAGCATGCACTACTTTGTGCTCAGTGATGAGGAGCCAAAGAAAAAAGGAAATGACAGACTTTGCTCTTAGGTATACTGGAAAGCTTGCTGAATTTGGGGGCAAGAACCTGGGTACACATTCCAGTTTTATTTTTTAAAGGTATGTAATCTCAAGCAAGTCACCTCACCATTCTGAGCCTCAGTTTTCCTCATCTACAAAATGGTAGAGTTGGACTAGCTCAGGGATAGGGAACCTCTGGGTCCTGAAGTGCAACCCTTTGACTAAATCCAAACTTGATGACTCCTTAATGAAAGGATTTGCTCTGTAAAACTTGGATTCAGTCAAAAAGCCATACCCAAGAACCTAGAAGGCCATATGTGGCCTCAAGGCTGCAGGTTCCCCACCCCTGGACTAGCTAATCTCTAAAGTCTCTTCTAGCTCAAAATCCCTGAAATTTTATAGTAATTCTTTTTAGTTTACATAAATTACCAACTTGCAGTTCTCATTGTTTGATAAAACAAATTTTTAGCATGTGTGAACGAATGAGAGCTTGATGATCTCGATGTACCCTTATTTTTTTTCCCATTTGTCTTTAATCTCTTTTAGACTGCTATCTGAGACAGTATTCTTAGATACAGAGCACTTCTCTGTAATTATAGAGCCCTCTGGGTTGCTGAGAAGAATTCCACTGTGGGAGGCACACAAGGGTCTGTGGTTCACAGTACAATCATCCCTTCCACACTGCAAGGTTTAGGGGCATGGCACCCTCATGATCTGGAAAATCCATGTAAAATGTTTTGGCCCTCCTTTCGTACCAGAGAAGTCTAAATTTTCTTTCTTTTTCTTTTATAGGGTGCTTACAATTCCTTATTGTAAATTTTGGGTTAAGTATTTGGTAATAGGTTCTGTGTCCTCTGCTGGCCTTTAGTGTCTATTGGCTGTGGCTTCCCAAAAACTCCCCCAAAACCCCCATTTAATTTCTTATGCCAACCCACAATATGTGTGTGTATTTTTTTTCTTTCTTTCTTTCTTTCTTTTTTTTTTTTTGCTGAGGCAATTGGGATTAAGTGACTTGCCCAGGGTCACACAGCTAGTAAGGGTCAGTGTCCACTGTCTGATCTGAGTCCGGATTTAAACTCTGATCCTCCTGACTCCAAGGCCAGTGCTCTGTCCACTGTACCACCTAGCTGCCCCAAACCCACAATATATTGAAACTGCCATAGGGAAAGTCATGATATGGAAGAGATAACTGTACATTTGACTCTTTTTTTGTTCCTAGGTGTTGGAAAGTTTCAAAATAATGGACTATAGTCTTTTGCTGGGAATCCATATATTGGACCATTCGCTAAAAGAAAAAGAAGGGGAGAGTTCACAGAATGCACCTGATGCTAAGCGGCCTGGGATACAGAAAGTCCTTTACTCAACCGCAATGGAATCTATCCAAGGCCCAGGGAAATCTGGAGATTCTGTAATCACCGAGAGTACTAATACGTAAGTATTAGCATTTAAGCATTAATCTTGAATATTAAGAGAGTCACAGTTTGGATTGAAAGAGACCTCAGTCCCTCCCATACCTGGAAAAAGTAATCCCCATAAGAGACCCAAAGCGAAATCATCCAGCTTTAGCTTTGATGCCCTCCAGTGAAGGAGCCCACTGTCTTCCTGGGTAAGCCCTTCCCCTTTTGAATAGTTCTGATCATAAGGAAATTTTCCTCATATCAAGCCTTGAGTTTCTTCTTTACAACTTCTACCAGTGGTTCCTAGCTGTAGCCTCTGAAGCCAGGGGCAACAAGTTTAATCAATTTCCCACAAAGTCACTTTCACATACTTAAAGGATAAAGAAGTATTACCCCAGCTAATCCTCTTAGACATTCAACTAGGTAACATAGTGGGTTGTGTGCTAGACCTGGAATTAGGAAGACCTCAGCTCAAATCTGGCCTCAGACATCTACTAGCTGGATTATCATGAACAAGTCATTTAGCCTCTGTCTGCCTCAGTTTTCTTATCTGTAAAATGAGTATTATAATAATAGCACCTGCCTCCCAGGGTTGTTATGAGGCTAAAATGAGATAATATGTATTTGTTAACTCCTTTTAAGCCATAAAGCACTACATAAATGCTAATTATTATTCTTAGTCTTATGGGAGATTTATTGTGACTTTGATCATGTAAATGAATATTTTAAATTTACTCACCTGCCTAATCTCTCTCACGGAGATAGCTTGGAAATAAAATTAATATACTCATAATTCTTTTCTACTTAACAATGGACAAGTGAGTTGCAGCTTTCCTGGTTATAGTTATCAACCTCCCAACTCCATTTCAGCTTTTCATTTGGAAGAGCACAATTTCTAAGAACTAACTCAAAGTCTTTGAAGGGTTTTGTTGTCGCTCTCTAGTACTGACTATTCAAAGATTCCATCAGAGAAGATCACTTGAGAATAGGAAATGATAACTTTGATTTGTTATCTGTCACCTAAATGCATGACAGTCATTATGGTTGTAATTCAGAGCCTCTTTTCTACACTCGGGGAATTCTCTTTGGTAATATAAGATAGCAGATGTAGTCTCTGGCCTCAGCCAGATGTGACAGTAACTTTGGTATTTCTTTGCATCTATAAACTGCAGATTTGCTAACAGAAGCAAAGCAAAGGACTGAAATGAGCTGCATACCCCCGTGCACATATGTGATCTGAGCATGGGGGCTCACAATTTTAAAATAGGTTTCTTCTGGCCTTAACTGTATAGCTTCTAGACTTGTCAATGGTTGACCGGATCACAGGCATATTAGGCTATTATATGGATGAATTCATCATATTTCAAATCATTTCTTCTAGCCTTTGTACTTATTTTAAATGTGATTCACTTGAACAGAATATACTGTGTTCAAAGCACTAGAGAGATATATCGAGGCTGATATGTAGATTTGAGAGTGTTCTCTGTAGAAATGATGATTAAAGCCATGGAAGCAGCTGTGCTATTACTAAGGGAGGGAGTCTAAAGGTAGAAGAGAAAGAGGGATGAGAAGTGAGCCAGGAAGAGGGTTGAGAAAGGAGGGCAATGAGGGGAGGGATGAAGCAATACAGACTGAGGCAGGAGATAGATGAAGACTCAGTCTGCTTTGCTGAAAAGAAGTGGTCAGACAAGTTAGAGAATGAGAAGAGATCATTGCCACAGAATACAAGGGAGGTGGTAATATACAGGAGGGCTGGGTAGTAACTAGCAGTGTCAGAACCTACAGAGAGCTTAAAGATCATGAAGGATGAGGAAATGAGACAAATTCTACAAATCTAACTCATCCTTCCCAGCCAGCCCTTTACACTGGACCATGTCGTTTATGCTGGAATCAACCTCTGTAGTGACTGAGGCACTTCATTCAGAGTCATCCATGGAATCCATAGATTTCAATACATCTTTTAAAAGGAGCAGGGGAGATACCATACCATCTTTGTTTCTCATTACTCTAAAAGATTGGTCATGAAATTCTATTTAACAAAAATTCATCGTGCACTTTCAATGGGTAAAGCAGTGTGTTCTACCTTGAACCAGATATAAAAGTAAGATAAAGTCCCTCTCCTTCAAGTTGCTTATAATGTCTTAAGGAGAAGGAAGTGAAAATGCAGGTATATTATATATAAATCTCTAGATTTCCCTGGGCCTTGGATAGATATGATTTTAAAAAAGTAAAAACATGGAGTTATGTTGTACTATAAAATTTCAAAAACATAAGGGATCACTTTTGGCTAGGAGAGTCAGGGAAGACTTTGTACAGGAAAATTATTTCCAATAGGCTTGGAAGGATGAGCAGATCTGACCTGATAAAAATATGGAAGGGAAGGTGTTTTACATATGGGGGATTATATAAACAAAGATATAGGGACAAAGAAAAGAACAACATTTATAGCCATCATTCAAATAAAGAATAGCATGATAAGAGGGGATATACCATGAGATGTTGGTTGGAGCCAGATTATGAATGATCTAGAATAGGAAAGTAAAGAATTTTACCTTACTTTAGTAGCCAGTAGGGAGTTGTTGAAGGTTTTGAACACCTGAATGATGTGATCTTATCTATCCATTTTGGTGGATTTCTCTGACAGGGGACTAAATAGGGAGAGACTGGAAGAAGAGAAAACAACAGACTGTTGGCGATGTTAAACCTGGTTACCAAATATATTATACATTCAACAGTTGTAGGTGACTTATTAATAATAATATTTTTAAAAAAACATTTTAGCCTATGATGCATAATGAAATATTTTCTCTTTGGTCCATCAACAGAATGGGAGGCATTCCAGCTAAAAGCCATAAAGGAGAAAAGCTACTTTTATTTATGGGCATTATTGATATTCTGCAATCGTATAGGTAAGGAGAGGTATTTTTAAAAACCTTCACAATATTTCTGAATTAATCAATATGCCATTCTGAAATATTATTTCCAATGTTTTTTTCATTAATTTTTGTATGTTTAGGTTAATGAAGAAGTTAGAACATTCCTGGAAAGCACTTGTTTATGATGGGGTAAGCTACTTCTATATGAGTTGTTAAAATTTTGATTACTCTGTGTTCCCAATTCATACTATGAGAATCTGATGACTAGAACAATGAACCACTGGCCTCTGCAGAGAGAAGACAGGAAAGTGTCTGCAAACTCAGAATGTGTAAATCACAGATTTCAATCTACACAAGACATCCAGAAGGAAATCAAGATTTGCAAATGGATAATACTCAATATGATGGGCTTGAAAATGCTGATCTCTGGATCTGGCCTGTATTTGAAAGATCCTTCTATCCTTTCTTCAGCCAAATAATGTTTAAAGAAATCATGGTCCTATTGGACACTGTCAGCAAAACCAAAAACAGAGAAAGGAAAAAAAATATTGATTTCACTTATAGACAAGAGTAGGAAAAAATTAGATAATGAAGTTCTTTCAAGCAACATGAGTTGTTCAGTCATTTTTCAGTCATATCTGACTCTTCATGACCCCATTTGGCGTTTTCTTGGCAGATATGAGACTGGTTTGCCATTTCCTTTTCCAGCACATTTTACAGATGAGGAAACTGAGGCAAACAGGGTTGAGTGACTTGCCCAGTGTCTGAGGCCAGATTTGAACTCAGGAAAAGATTCTTCTTTACTCCAGGCTCTGAACTCTATCCACTACACCACTTTGCTGCCTCAAATCCATCCATGAGTTAACACTTAAAGGATTATGAGATCATAGATATCTATCATAGATCATAGATTATGAGATCATAGGGTTAGTAGGGAGCTTAGATGTCAGCAAGTCCAACGCTCCTCATTTTTCAGATGAGGAAGCTAAAGCACATAGAGGTTAAGTGACTTGCCCAGGGTCACACAACTAATAAAAGTCTGAAGCCTATTTTAAATCCAGGTCTTCATGACTCCAAGTCCAGCTCAGTATCCCCTATGCCACCTAGCTGCCTCATAAGGCAAATGTATGAATTATCTGATGTGAGAAAATGCTTTCTCCAGACAGGAATGACACAGCAAAAGCAAATGAAACCAATTATGGGGAATTTTCCTCCTCCATCTATCTTCATCTCATATCACATATAATGGAGAGGCAACTAGATGGCTCAGTGGATAGAGCACTGGGCTTTGAATTAGGAAGACTCATCTTCCTGAGTTCAAATCCACTTACAAGTTATGTGACCTTGGGCAAGTCACTTTAACTCTGTTTACCTCAGGTTCCTCATCTGTAAAATAAACTGGAGAAGTAAATGCAAACCACTCTAGTATCTTTGGCAAGAAAACCCCAAATGACATCATAAAGAGTTAGAAACGACTCAATAACAACAAATATATAATGGAACTAAATTCAGAATCACTGCCACTCTAATGCAGCTAAATTTGAACTCTGATGCAAAATCTTCTAATTGAGCTAAAAAGCTACCTTTTACCTAGGTCCTTAACCAAGATCATAGGGTGACAGGATATTGTTCATGACAGATGACAGCCCTGGGGGAAGAAAGACCAGAGTTCTCGCCCTGCTTCTGACACACATTGGCTCTGTGACTACAGACTACTTCATCTCATGGTATTATCTGGCAACTCTAACACTATAAATTATAGAAGGGTTGTCAATCTGCATTTCCTCGATATTAGTTCTCTTGATGAAATCACTAGGCTGAACCAATTTCTTTTTAAGGCATCTAGGTGGCACAGTGGATAGAGCTCCTGGCCTGGAGTAAGGAAGAAGTTCAAATCTAATTACAGAGGCTAGCTGTGTGACCTTGGGCAAGTCACTTAACCCTGTTTGCCTCAGTTTCTTATCTGTAAAATGAACTAGAGAAGGAAATGGCAAACCTCTCCAGTATTTCTACCAAGAAAACCCCAAATGGGATCATGAAGAGTCAAACACAACTGAAATGACTGAACAACTCCAACAAGCCAAAGATTACAGCATCTATTTCTTAAGAAGAGGACGACTTTAGACTCTTTTCTTTGAAAGAAAACCAGGCATAGTTGCTCATCTCTTCTAAAAGGGACAGGAGTGGGGCAGCTAGGTGGCACAGTGGATAGAGCACTGGCCCTGGAGTCAGGAAGACCTGAGTTCAAATCCAACCTCAGATACATAACACTTACTAGCTGTGTGACCCTGGGCAAGTCACTTAACCCCATTGCCTAGCCAAAAAAAAAAAAGAAAAAAGAAATAGGAAAATAAATAAATAAATAAAAGGGACAGATTCTCTGCAACAGCTTTAACAATAGTGAATTAATTTTGTTTGTATCAGGAGTGACATTCTGCATGCCTACCCTAGAATCATTCTCAACCATCACAGTTTTTCATGTCATGCATTGTAGTTCATTTCTCATAGTTAACATTCTTCTTTCCTATATCAAACAAATCTCCTATTATGGAAAAACCCCTAAACATCAGATATTTCTTTTAAGCACAGAAGTATCTATACTAAGCACAATCTTGAGTTTGAAAGGGAAAATAGGATCATGTCAATTGAGCATCTGGCTCTTTTTTTAAAATTCTTTTTTCTTGGGGGTGGGTGGCAATCAAGGTTAAGTGACTTGCCCAAGGTCACACTGCTAGTAAGTGTCTGAAACCAGATTTGTACTCAGGTCCTGACTTCAGAGCTGGCACTCTATCCACTGTACCACCTAGTTGCATCCCCTGCCTTTTTCTTATTCTTTTAACAATTATCAATAATAAAAAATCTTGGGGTAACTATACACTCATAGCATGTCAGAGCTGAAAGGAGCCTTGGATGTTGTCTATTCAAATTTCCTTATTCCAAATTTCCTCTGAGGGCCAAAGAGATGACGAGCCTTCCCCAAGGTCTCACAGCTACTTTGGTGTCAGGACTGTGATTCAGACTCCCAGGACAAGGTCTTTTGCCCTACCATGTAGATTGTCTCAGTGTGACAAAAAACAAATTCTAATCTGATTGTAATGTTTCTACCACAAAAGAGATAGCCACAGCATAACTGTAAGAGAGGACACTTTAACCATGTCTTATCACACCGGAATAGATAAATGTGAAGCAAAGTCAACTCTCATTACAATGAAATGTTTAATCATTGACTAGAGTGACTTGTGAACCCATCTTCCCTTATCTCAGATGAGTTGTACATATAGATATAAACTCAAATAATGTCATGTGACTAGGGCATTAGGATTTTTATTGGGTAACACTGTGTTCCACCACCACCCCCAATTTCAAATCTAGTTGGTTTCTAGCTAGAATTGTCTTTCATATGTATTGCAAATGATGCTTATGATATGTTTTTGTTTTTATGCATAAATGAGACCCTCCCCCCAAAGGATAACATCTACCCTGTTAGTTTTTTCCATTATGAGTAAAAAATTTTTGTTCTCTGTTAAGCAGTAGAAGACCTCTTGTGCAGGGACATTTATTTTCTCTTCCTATCCTTTGGCAGAATGTGTAGGGTCTGTGTTCAAAGAAAATCCAAGAATATTGTAAATTATTAAGGGCAATGTCTAATTTATTGCTTTCCTTGACTGCCCAGACAAGCCTTGTGGACAGAAACATGGCTCGTGGAAAACAGAGTTATAACTTTCTCAAGACTCTTCCCTTGTTAATGTACTCTGTTCTTAGATTACCTTTAGAATGGAATTGAATTACCTGAGAAGTAATTCTGTGATATCTATATTGTCTTTTCCAGGATACCGTTTCAGTTCATAGACCAAGTTTTTATGCAGATAGGTTTTTAAAGTTCATGAATTCCAGAGTTTTCAAAAAAATCCAAGGTAAGCATTTTATTATTTTTATTAGCATTACCCAAAAAAAAGCTGAAGAAAACATCTTAGGGCCTTGTGTGCAGTCTTTGTTATGAATGAATGAATGAATGAATGAATGAATGAATGAATGAATGAATGAACGAACGAACGAAAAAAGCATTTATTAAATGCTAACTATAGACCAGCCACTGTCCTAAGCACTGAGGATGCCACAATTTAAAGAGAAGAGTCCTGAATTCAAGGCATTTACTACATTCTAATAGAGGAAGGCAACACATAAAGGGAAGAGGTGACCTGAGAAGGGCATTTTGTTTCTGGGAAGAGGTGATCTGAGAAGGGCATTTTGTTTCTGGGAAGAGGGAAAGGAAGCTACACAATCAGAAGTCCATGATAAAGGCCTGGGTAACTGTCTGGATAGGTTGTGAAAGGTGGGGCATGGCCTGATGTCTAGGGCCAGCCAGTGGATAATTAGTGGGCCCTCAATGTATCTCCTTCACACTCGGAATCTTCTGAGGGCTTGAAGGACAATAATGTGATTTATCACATTTTAAAAGCACTTCCTGGTTGACAAAGAGCTGTCCTCATGGCAATCTTGTAAGACAGGTAGTGGCACATATTGTTGTCCCAGTTTTCAGATGAGGAAAGAGAGGTTAAGTGACTTAAGGCCACATAGCTAGATAAAAGTACAGCCTGCTACTTTACATTATGATGTTTCAGTATTAATTCATTCTCTTGCCTCATTGCTGATGTTGATAATAATGACTATTACCAAGAAGCCATTTGTCCTTTATCCTTTTTACAACCCTTCTCTTGCCTTTCCTTTATCGTAATCAGCAGAACAAGTTACCAATTTTTTCCTTGTTCTACCTACCCACTCAATTGATCCTTCTGCCTTTATTTCCTTTCTACTGACGTCACTTATTTTTTTAAGCTACTTCCTTATTGTCTCGCTTTTTGAGAAAGCTGGTATGATCCCAGCTAGTAACTACATTTTAAAACCTTGGAAGTGCTAGATTGGAAGATTAGGAGTTGAGAATTTGCACAAATTAGCAGAGAGAGTTTTTTTAAGTATGAGATGATCAGAAAAAGAGTCAGTACACTACGTGCATAAGTCAAATCAGAGAATTTTTGTTTATTTAAGAAAATGGGATAGAGTAAGACTAAGGCAAGCATAAGGACAATGTTAGAGACTGACCTGAGATTTCATTGGTATAGAGAACTTACTAGGTGAGGAGCTTTATCTCCCTGGCCTGGTAAGATAAGTAAGTACCTTCTCTGTAATAATAGCTTTAGAGAGTTTCCTAGAACCCTGTGAAAGATTAAATGTGATCTTCAGTTGATGACAATGTATTCTATCTACATCTCTGTATTTGGCAGTAAAGATTTTGGATTTAAGACTACTTAGGAGACTTGAAAGCTTTTCCCCCTTTTCTCTAAACTAGAAAACTGCTCTCCTTTTCTTTCTCAACTTGTATACCCCAGAGTACTCCCCCATTTAAGCTCTTGCTGACTTTTTGAAGAGACCTAATTGGCAGCATAATCTGAGTTGTGAGTCATAAGACTAAGTACATTTGTCCTAAATGAAGAGATTGTCAGGGTCTTCTTTGCAAAAATCTCCTCAGAAGGGTAACCTAGACAAAGCTCAAAGAAGCTTCAGGGCCCGCCCCCCCCCCCACGCTTTGCTCCTCTCCTCCAGGGAAATTATCTTAAAATATTAAATACTAGACAAAATTATGTCAAAATGAAGAGTGACTGTATAATGGAGTGTGATCCAGCCTGGACTCAAAGTAATTTCCACAGGAGTTTTTGCAAGTGAATTCACAGAATTCAATAGAGTTCACAGGGTGGTAATTTGAGTACTTTTTTGTCAATTCATTTCTCCAACACGTTTTTTTTAAAATTCTGCAGTATTGAGGAGGCAAAGATCAGAACTGAATTATGTTTCTCACAAAATTGACCCTGCATAAAACAAGGAGAGTCCATTTCTGTGGGAAGTTGCTGAAGGAGAGTAGAAGTTTGAAGTGACTTGGCTTATGTTAAATAGTATTACTGTCAAATTGGGTACTGACATGTTCTGAAAATTCCTGAGCCCAAGTTAATACAACTGGGGTCATGAGAACTTGACATTCTCCACCATCTGAACCTACCAATCCATTAGACAAACATTTATGGCAAAACAGTTAACAGTGCTCTACCCAAAAAAAGCAATTCTTTAAAAAGTTATGTAGAATTAAAATTTGAATCATATCTGGAGATGATGAAACTTTATACCCTTTCACCCAATGATCCCACTACTGAGCACAAACCTTAAGGAGGTTAGAGATAGAAATAAAGGCCCCATATAAGCCACAATGTTTGGAGTAGCATGTTTTGTAGTACTGACAGAGGGTATCCATCACTGGGGGAATGGCTGTGCAACTTGCGGTCTGTGAATAAAACAATATTATTATATCTTAAGAAATTATAAATATGAGGATGTCACAGAAACATGGGGAGACTTGTAAGACCTGATGCAAACCAAAGTCAATAGAATCAGAAGAGTAGACAAATGACTATAATAACATAACCCAAAAAACTCTCATTCACTAAAAGGCAGGCAAACTCAGTGTATTTACAATGACCAATTATGGCTCCCAAGAACAATAATGAAATATTTCCATCCTTCCTCTGATGATTACCTATATTACCTTGTTAAAGTCACTTAATGTCCCTAGAGCATTAGTTTCCCCATCTATAAAATGAGGGAGGTTTGACTAGCAAAAAACACTGAGGTCCATTCAGCCCCAGATATGTGATCCTATGGTATAAGTACAGAGGTGGGAAATGACATGTGCATTATTTTGCATGTTTTCTCAGATATTAGCGTTTGATCAGTCAGTTTTACTTGACTGTTTTCCTTGTTACAAGGGAAGTACAGAGGGAAAATCTATTGGGACATGAATATGGTGTAAAAAACAAAAATGGTAAGTTTGTTCTGAAGATGAATACAGAGCATTTAGGTATGCTAATAGTGAATGAAGGCTTTGATGAGTTCCTAAATCTTCAACTTACCTTTCAAACCATGTTGCAAAATTACCACTCTTCATACATTCTATGCTCTAGCCATAATGGTCTTCTTACTATTTTTCATACACGACATTACACCTCCCAGCCATTGTCCTTGCTGTCTACTATATCTAGAATTTACTCCCTACCTCTTAAAATTCTTAGTTTCCTTGGAGACCCAACTCAAGTACCACCTTCCTCATGAGAACTTTATCGTTCCCCTCAACTGTTGGTACATTCCTCTCAAAAATTACCCTGTACTAAAGGGGCAGCTAGGGGGTACAGTGGATAGAGCACTGGCCCTGAAGTCAGGAGGACCTGAGTTCAAATTCGGTCTCAGACCAAACACTTGACACTTACTAGCTGTGTGACCCTGGGCAAGTCACTTAACCCCAATTGCTTAAAAATTTTTTTTAAAAATTACCCTATATCTATTTCATATATTCCTGTATATTCTTGTTTCTGCTGATAAAATGTAAGCTTCTTAAAAGAAAGAATTTTCTTGTTTTTGTTTTTGTATGCCCATCATTTGGCACAATGCCTGGCTCAAAGTGGGTAGCTGATAAATGTTTGTTGATTGATGGATTGTTTGATTAAATATGTATTTCAGAATATCACTTCCTCTTTTCACAGCTTATAGAATTAGAGCTGAAAAAAACCTTAAAAGCCAATTGTTCTTACTAGCTGTGTGACTATGGGCAAGTCACTTAACCCCAACTGCCTAAGCAAAAAAAAAAAAAAGCCAACTGTTCCAACCCCCTCATTTTATAAAGGAGGAAACTGAGGCCCAGAGAGTATAACTACCTTGTCCAAGCTCATTCATGTAGTAAATAGGAGAGCTGAGATTTGAGCCCAAGTCCTCTGACTCCAAAATCAAAACTCTTTCCTCTTGACCATGCTCTAATTCATTCCTGTAATATATAAAATAAATAACTTGATTTGATACTCCCCAGAGATGACTAAAATGTTAAACTACAAAATAAATAATAGTATTTTGTTTCTTTTTTTCTCTTCTAGCTTTGAAGTCCTCGCCTTCTAAGAGAAGGTGTAATTCCATTGCTGCCTTAAAGGCTACATCACAGGAAATTGTATCTTCTGTGAGCCAGGAGTGGAAGGATGAAAAGTGTGATTTGCTTACCGAAGGGCAGAGCTATAGCAGCCTTGATGAAGAAGGTAATATAGACCAACTTCAGATCTGGTTGCCACAGAAACATGCTCATTCACACCTGTAAGGGTTTTTAGCATTAGATCGTTGTTGTTTTGTCTTCATGGATTACACCTCATATTCATCTTTGATACAAGCTAATTAGTAGAATATACTAGAGGTAAAACCTACAGTTCTTCAAATCCTAGTCCACCGGACAAGGCCTACCAAACTGGAATGCCCTTCTCTACCTGTCCATCTTCTTTCCCTCCCCACTCTAACCCACCCTCTCCAAAAGTCCATACCAGTTACACATATTGTTCTTCTGATATTCTGGTTGTCTTAATATGTATTTCTTGGAAGAATACCTTTGAGAGTCTACTAAATACTCAGACATTTAAACTTCAATGGGTCCATGACCTTACCAGATATGAATATCCATTTTCTAGATACATATCATCACTCATCCATGCCTTCCACGCAATTTTTTTTATTTTCTAGTTTTTAATGAACTTGAAAAAATTAACAAATACAAACATTTCCCTATTCAAATAACAGGAAGAAGAGAATTGCATATGAACCATGAATCTATTATGTACCAATTGTTTTGAAGTATATGTGAATTTTTTAATTTATTTATTTTTGGTTTTCAACATTTGCTTTAATACGATTTTGAGTTCTAAATATCCCCCCTCCACACTTTCCTCCCCAAGATGACATACAATCTGACATAGGCTATACATGTATGATCAGAAGTATGTTTTAAAATTTAACAATCAATGTTGCCCTGTCTGTCTCTGTCTCCTTGTGAGCTTCCTTCTACTTTATTCTTTGCATTTTTAAATATTTCATAGACATGCTTTTTTTCCATGTTCTATTCTCCATAAAAAAAATCTCTACCATGGAGCCCTTTCCCTAGCTTGGAGATTGTTAATTTCTTTTTATGTCATGGACCCCTTTTGCAGTCTGATGAAGCCTATGGACTCTTTTTCAGAATAATGTTTTTTAAAGCATAAAATAAAATACATAAGGTTACAAAGAAATTCAATTATATCATCATGCAATTAGCAAAACTTAAAAAAACACACATACATTTGGACTGCTTTAGGTCTCTTTATATTTTGTGAGTTACCAGGGTAAATATCAGTCAAGCTATCCATCTACTTTCCACTACTCTTGATACATCAACATAGCTTACATTTATAGAGTGCTTTAAGATTTACAAAACTATTTATATACATTATCTCATTTGGTTTTCACTACAATCCTGTAAGGTACATATTGTTCTTATCATGTGTATTACTATTTATCATTCATTAAAGGGACCTACCCCTTTTTTCTGGTTCTCTCTTCCCCAAATGAACTAATCAATTTCTTTCTAAAACTCTAAAACTCTTTCAGATTTTGGGGTTTGTTCTTGTGAACAGTCCCTCTTTTACAAATGGAAAGTGAGGCTCAGAAAGCTTAAGTGACTTCTCCAGGTTAACACAGCTAGTAAGAGTCTGAAGTGTAATTTAAACATGGATGTTGCTGACTCCAAGTACAGTCCTCTATTTACTGTACCACAGATTTCCTGAATGATATTCCCTTTGCTGCTTATTTCTTGCATACATGAACATTAGGCATATTAGTACTATCACTCATACTGAAGTTTAGATTTTATTTTAGAAGGGGTGTATGAAAGTGATTAAAAGGAGTCCATGCTGACTTCAGAGAGAGTGAAAGTGGGTGGTAAATGGGAATTACAGATAGGTCAGCATGATCTTCCTTTCCTTTATGCTTAATAGAACCTGCAAGGCTCATCCTACAGTTACATGAATTGTAAGAGAAAAATAAGCACATTTTCCTGGTTTTTGAAGCATTAGTCTCTCCCAACAAGGTATCTGTTATCAATGTATCAAAATCATTCCAGATACACAGTAATCTCTGAAATGTTTTGAATATATATCACATAAAGGGCGATGGAGAAGTATATGGGGTGTGTTAGGCAAAAACATAACAAATGATAAATTTCAAAGAATAATAAGAATAAAAGATAGCATAAGGGAATGTTTGGGGAAAATAAAAAGAAGGTGGGGACTCATATGAAGAGGGTGAGAGATGACACGTGGACAGCCAGACTGCTCTAATGACGTTCTTTTGGTGTTAGGAGAAAGCAAAGATGACCTCCAGAGTATTGAGTGGCCCCCTTGTGGTGAATTTCTAGGACATGAACTAGAGTCATACAGGATAGGCAAGCATGGTTGGGTTATGATTGGTGCTGCTAAACTAGTCCAAATGAAATTATAGGTCCATTTGAGGACGGAGTTGAGTGTTATTCCTAGGATCTAATCACAGGAATATCCTTGGATAATGTTAATAAAATATCCATTACCTAGAGCAGGCTTTGGTTGTAATTAGCAGTTACCCTATTATATTTATCCTGTACACATCTTGCTAATTCAGAATTCTTAGAGCTAAAACAAAACCCATGACTTCAAAAGAACATTCCTAATGTAATTTCTATAAACTATTTTCAAATTAATTCTGTTCCCTTACTATTTAATCTATTTTCATGAACCTTTTTATGTTCTATAGAAGTACAAAAATGAAGTCAACTCACAATTTAATTGGCTGTCAAACATGTCTACCTTGTGCTTTTGCCAATTTAAATGACAATCAAATCTAAAGTAATACTGTATTAACTACGATTCATTATTGTTGCTGCTGTTTACACTTTTCACAGCACTGGGATCCAGGCACCGACCAGACCTTGTGCCGAGCACTCCATCTCTGTTTGAAGCGGCTTCCTTAGCAACGACAATTTCGTCTTCTTCTCTGTATGTCAATGAGCAATACCCACATGATGGAACTACACTTTATTCAAACAGGTAACAGTTGCCTTTTAAGTAAATGACCTAGTTACTCATCAAACAGTGTTACCACGGTGATATCATGCCTAGGACAACGTCTCTGCCTGATGGGGTTTTCTTGATCCAAATGCCATTTTATTCCAATTGCCCCTTCTTGGATGTAAAAGTTGGAAAAATTGTCGTACTCTGTTGTCATGGTTCTGAAAAATTCATCAGTAGGAACAAGGCACATGTTTCTCTTTTATGATAGCTCTATTTGGAGATTAGCAATGTGGCTGTGTGAAGGGAGCCAAGTCTTTGGTTTGTAATTTTCTGCAAACAGATTTTTTTCCCTAAGCAAGTGATTCATTAATATTACATAGCCCACTGCTAAGGTATTTTAACATTTACTTTATGTCAATGAGCTTAGTGATTTTCGTAAACATTTAACGTGGTTTTTATATTTTGTATGGCTTGTCAGAATTAGCTAAGTTAAAGGATACCTTTGTTGGTTTTTTTTTCCTTTTGAAATAAAATATTAACATGTGACTTCTGATGATAGATAGTGGTATCTTTGTAGAAACTTGACATGAGAGGTCACAAAGATATGGCTATTTTATTTTATGACACAGAGAGGGAAGAGAGACCCATGTGTGAATGGGAAGGAGGAGGAGAATATTTCCAGATTTCACTTTGCTCTACTCAGCTATGTAGGGGGTTTGTTTTTGTTTCTGTAATGAATAAACATAAATACAACAGGCTCTCATATGTTCCAGGCCAAAATCTTGATGGTATCACAGTTTATAGAGATTATTGCTCTAAGATCTTAAGTAATTTACTTCTTCAGAACTACAAAAGGTATTTGATTAGGTTAGTCTCTCAAGATTAGAGATATTTGAAATGATATGCATGATATTCAGTTGTGCTTAGACTCTCTTAATTTAATAGGCAAAATTAGAGGCAGCTAAGTGGCTTTCTGAGCCAGGAGTCAAGAAGGCCCAAGTTTGGACTCAACCTTAGACAATTACTAGTTGTGTGACCTTAGGAAGTCACTTAACCTCTGTTTGCTTCAAATTCCTCAACTGTAAAAAAAAGTCCAACAACAGTACCCCCCTCCCAAGGTTATTATGAAGGTCAAATGAGATAGCATTTCTAAGGCTCTTAGAACAGTGCCTGGCGCAAAGTAGGTGCTATAAAAATGTTTATTTCCACCTCTTCTTACCATACCCCCATCCCAGCTAAATAGCAATTTCCTTATATTGTACATTCTAAGGAGACAGAAACTGGTTTATGTAGAAATTTTTGCATTTCAAAAAATGGTGGATCCATATATCAATGAAATCACAGGTCCGGGCCCTATCCATATAATGATGCTTTTTAAGTTAGAGGCATATATGTGAGTAAACGTTAACAGAAGGGAAGCTTAAGGGCTATACTTTTGTTGTTATTTAGTCATTTTCAGTTGTGTCCAACTCTTCGTGACTCCATTTGGAGCTTTCTTGGCAAAGATACTGGAGTGATTTGCCATTACCTTCTCCTGTTCATTTTACAGGTGAAGAAACCGAGGCAAACAGGGTTAAGTGACTTGCCCAGGGTCACAAAGCTAGTAAGTGTCTGAGGCCAGATTTGAACTCACTAAGATGAGTCTTCCTGACTAGAGGCCCAGCACTCTATTTACTCCTCCACCGTATTGCCCTGAGTGCTATACTGGCATCCCCAAAATATCAAAAATGAAGGCTGGTCAATGTTGTCTTTCGAACCCATTCAAAATACCCTACCATCCAGGGACTCCAGTTACTGTGACAACACTGGGCTTGCTCTCCCCAAGTGCTCTCTGTCAATCGGTAAACATTTATTAAGCACCAACTCTGTGCCAGGCACTGTGCTAAGCCCTGAGGATACAAAGAAGGGTAAAAGATACCCTGTGCTCTCAAGGAGCTCACACTCTAATGTCAGGAACCATATGTTGCTCCATAAACATTCAGGACTTTGTTGACACCATGTTCTCCTCTCATAACAATTCATTATCCTCTGAAAGCTGGGTCCTCTGTGTTTTCCAAGGTGACAGTTAACTCTTTTGGTCTCATCTGTAACATGAGGGGTTTGTAGTAAATGACATCTGAGATCTAGGACTTTTTCAAAATTATTCTAAAATTTTTGCTATGTGGAAAGTTCACATCTGCATGTGGGCTAAATTCTATGGAAGTGAAATCCCCAGAACTCCAAATTTTTTGTTATGATGGATTCTTCTTAACTTCCTCAAAGGTAGGAATTCTGCTTTCTTCATCTTTGTAACTTCTCTTCCCACCATAATCACTTATGAGACTACTTGCACACAGCAAGAATTTAATAAATATCTACTGAGTTGAATTAAATCAAATATTGATTTAAATAATTGAGCTTTTGGTCAAGATGTGTGGATCTTTGTTATTTAGGGATTTCCACAGTAATGGTATTTGCCATAATGGTATTTATCCTGTAGCTATTGATTTTTTTTTCATAAACTACACACCATTAAAATGATTTTAAATTTGTTACAGACTGAATGTTAAAATGACACCATTAGTTTAAAATGTCACATTGCTAAGAATATGTCCCCAAAACTCCTTATTTAAAAATGAATGTTTCAAAGTTATTAATGGAACTTATTTTCTATTAATGTTCCACTCTGCTTGAGCTTATAATTTGGGTTCTTCTGCAGAATAAAATTGCAGCTGGATTTCCCTTACCATAAAATGATTGAAGTAAAAAAGTGGCAAAGGAAAGAAGTGATGGAACTGGGGCAAGGAGAAAGGATGATGGACGGATATGACATGACCCCTGTCCTGTAGGAGCTTGGGATTGATCTGGGAAGATGGGACCTAGCTGTACAAAACAATTATACATTGTCTTCTATCATTCTCCAATTAAGTACAGAATTCGTGGATATAGAATATAAAAGGCTACCAGAATTTGGAGAAATATGTGATGTCTCTGATCTTTGCCATTATCCCTTTAGTTAACATGGGAAAGGAGAGAAGCAGCAAGTGAATAATAACAGAAGGGCAAGTAGCACTCCATTCATATACTTCCAACCCCCTAGTCCTGGCTCAGGTTATTGTCAAAGAATTATCATCAATAAACTGAAGAAAGTAGAAAGGATTATCACCATTTTTATTATCATCATTTTTGCCACCTGAGCCCCGCTAGATAGTGCATTCATTTAAGAAAGAAGACCTTCAGGCATCATCTGTTCTGACATTCTGAGTCCTGGGAGCTAATCTTAATGATATTTGGAAATAAAAAAAGGGTCAAATGCAGATTTTGTCATTCACATAAGAGATTTTTCTGCTTTTCATTTGTTCTGCGTCTCTTTCCTATTGAAAAGAAATATTTTTATCATGGCACTTTGACTTCATGCTATGTGTACATGCCCTCAAATGGTCTCCAACTAGCATCACAAGCAGTGGTTGTTCTGACCTTTTTATACTTTTGAACTTTTTCAGAATATCTGTAAGGCAACAAAAGCCTAGATGGCTAGATAGCTAAGTTAAATGTTTCAGTTAGGATATTGTGATCAGTTAAGACAATGTGGTACAGTGAAAAGAAAACTACCCTTGGAGTCTCAGAACCTGAGTTCCAATTCCACCTTTGAATCTTACTTCCCTGTGACTTTGGGCAAAGTTAACCAACCTCCCTCAGTTTCCTCATTGGAAAAATGAAGGAATTAGATTAGATGGCCTCCAGAGTCCCTGCTAGATGTAGATCTATGATCTTATCATCCTAGGAGGGGTGAGAGGGGGAAGAGAGTGAGCCAATCCACTAGCCACAGTGAGACATTACTGATAGATAGTCCATATGCTATTGAAATGTCCGGAGGAAGGTCCCCAACATGCTAGGGGCAAATTTACAGGAAAACAGGGACAAGAGTTGTATGGGATTGGAAGGCACAAATGGAATCATTAAAAGGAGCGCTTTTTTTCTCGACTAATGGTATTTTTTTTTGGAATTTGTAATTTTAATTTTCAGTTCCAAATTCTTTCCCTCCCTTCACCTCTCCCCCAACCATTCAGAAAGCAAGAAATGGACTACCTATTATACATATGAAGTCATGCACATTAGCCACACTACAAAAAAAAAAGAAGAAGAAGAAGAAGGAAGGGAGAGAGGGAGGGCGAAAAAAAGGAAGGAAAGAAGAAATGTTTCCATTTGCACTCAGAGTCCATACATTTTCTCTCTGGAAGTAGATAGGTTTTTCATCATAAGCCCATTAGAACTGTCATGATCATTGCATTAATCAGAGGAGCTAAGTCTTTCACAGTTGATCATCATTATAATATTGATTTTACTATGTACAATTTTCTCTTAGTTCTGCTCACTTCGTTTTGCATTAGTTCATATAAGTCTTCCCAGGTTTTTTGAAACCACCCCTTCAGCATCTTATAGCATAATAGGATTCCATCACAATCATATACCACAACTTGTTTAGCCATAACCCAATTTATGGTCATCCCTTCAGTTTCCAGTTCTTTGCCACAATGAAAAGAACTGCTATAAATATTTTTATAAATATGGGCCCTTTTACTTTTTCTTTGCTCTTGTTGGAGTATAGACCTAGTGGGATTGCTCAAAGGGTAGGCAAAGTTTTATAGTCCCTTGTGCATAGTTTGATATTATTCTCCAGAATGGTTGGACCAGTTCACAGCTCCATCAACAGTACATTAATGTACCTATTTTTCCACATCCCCCAGCATTTGTCATTTTCCTTTTCTGTTGTGTTAGCCAATCTGATGGATATGAGGTGGTATCTCAGAGCTGTTTTAATTTGCATTTCTCTAATTATTAGTGATTTTGAACATTTTTTCATATGATAGCTTGTATTTCTTCTTCTGAAAACAGCCTGTTCATTGCCTTTGACCATTTGCCAATTAGAGAATGGTTCTTAATTTTATAAATTTGGCTTAGTGTCCTATATATTTGAGAAATAAAACCTTTATCAAAGAAATTTGCTATGAAAATTTCCCCTCAGTTTTTTACCTTCCTTCTAAAGTTGACTGCAT